ATCTAGAGATAACTGACGTAGAATCAAGCATCATGTCGGTTACCCTTTAAACGGTGGTTATCTCCATATTGCATTCGAGCTGAACTTTCACTACCTCAAAAAGTGAACGGTTACCCGCGTAGCCAAACGTACTCATGTCACATAACTGCTGGAGATGTGCGTGAGAAGTAAATTTTCATTTCATTCGCTGTTTGCATTTTACTTACCTATAACATGAAGATTCAGTCCCCGGATACACTTCAAAACATTTCTGTCGTGTCTCTTCTTCGTTTGCAAAATTTCTGGTCGAAGAAACGGCCGGCCGATATTCACGTTCCTGTTTCAGTTTTTTCTCTAGATCATTTACCCAGCTGAAATCGATGTCCCCGCAGTCGATCTCTTCAACCGTAGAAGGCAGAGTACCGCATCTGCTGTCGCTTCGATAGCCATGCTGTTGTGTTCCGTAGGAACGACTTTTCGTCCTGTTGACGTGATTAATATCGTCCGCACTTTGTGTCATCTCGTCGGCAGAAGCAGAGCTGGTCACCGCCATGTTTAGGTCTGATTTAGCGTTTGATCGCTCTACTTGTGAAAGAGCATTGTTTTCGTTGGAACTAGCAATACGACGAAGCACCATATCGGTCTGCATTTTCAGCCTCGAGCCAAAAGCATAATTTCCGCTGTCGCGTGCATGCATTCTAGTTTCACAGATATCTCTCGCTTCCGGCGTTGCCCTGGATTCCTGATAGTAGTGGGACTTCTGTCCAACAGCCTCCGTCGAATTCTGCGGACAGACCTCCGGCGAGGACGAGCTAAACGGAGGCATGTTCGTCTGCACACACTGCTCGAAAGTGTTCTGATCCTCAAAACCACTGCGATCCTTATGCGTAGCGTTATCCAAGATGGACAAATTGCTCCAGGACTCCGAAATTTGTGATTCTTCGAGTCCATCGCGATTCTCTGCCTCTCTGAAATTCGCCTTATGACTATATTCGTTTGATAGGTAACTAGAAGCGACGTTCTTATGCGGAGAATGCGATGATTCGCGAGCATCAAGTTGATGGTTCTTTGCATCTGCAGCCATTGACAAACCGGGTGTGTCGTCGTTTGAGGAAACAAATTGGCTAGTGTCCCGTCCGGATGCATGCCTGCCTGGATCGGTCATCGCAGCATCGCTGGGTACTTCGTTTCCGGAGCTGAGAGTCATGCTGACTTCCTGTTTTGAGACACTACGATCGTTAATGCCGCGAGGGAACTTGGTGGATGGCTTCAGTTGTTGAGTAGAAGCG